TGTGTGTGTCTGGGGGTGCTGTGTGTGTCTGCTGTGTGTATCTGGGGTGCTGTGTGTGTCTGGGGGTGCTGTGTGTCAGGGGGTGCTGTGTGTGTGTCTGGGGGTGCTGTGTGTGAGGGGGCTGTGGGTGTCTGGGGGGGCTGTGTGTGTATCTGGGTGCTGTGTGTATCTGGGGTGCTGTGTGTATCTGAGTGCTGTGTGTATCTGGGGTGCTGTGTGTATCTGAGTGCTGTGTGTATCTGGGGTGCTGTGTGTATCTGGGGTGCTGTGTGTATCTGAGTGCTGTGTGTGTGTCTGGGGGTCCTGTTTGTGAGGGGGCTGTTAGGGAATTTATTTTAAATATATATATATATTTTTATGAATAATTTTAAAACAAGTTGTGCTCCCCCCCCCCCTTCTTACCTTTAGCCTGGGAGGGGGAGGGAGCCGTTCTGCCTGGGAGGGGGAGCCTTGAAGGGACCATGCTGCCTTCCCTGGTGGTCCAGTGGTGAGAGTGAACTCTAACCTGCAGGTTAGAGTTCACTCTCACGAGATCTGAGCGTTGCCACGGTAACCACGGCAACGCTCAGAATCTCGCGAGAGGACCCGGCGGAGCTGCGGGTTAGAGCTCCGCCGGTCCTCTCTCCCCAGCCGGCGGCCGCATCTCACTGTCTGTGGGCCGGTGGGGAGATCTTTGATCTCCCCACCGGCCCATGGATTCACATAGCAGGGCTGGCGCTCGGGTAGCGCTGGCCCTGCAGGGGCTGGCAGGGGAGATCCTGGGATCTCCCTGCCGGCCTCGGCCCCACGGCCATCGCGGCCCACCGGGCATTTGCCCGGTATGCCCGATGGCCAGTCCGGGCCTGGTTGGAGGCCTTTGTTTCTGTTAATCCACCAGTTTAATTGATCTTGCAGTTGCATGGTGGACTGTTTTGTTTCAAGCACACAAGAACCATGATTGGTTACCTTGTTAGGGCATTTCTGTTCTCTGCTGTCCCATTATCGTTCCTTAGTACCTCCTTGTACCTTCATTGTATCAGCTGGTTTCTGTGGGGGTTATAGAGCAATACCTCTGTATCACTTTGCTTACTTTAATTCACACCTTGTGAGTGTCTTTCTTTAGTCACCTTTTGTAGTCTGTTTAGGTTAGACCTTTTAAACTGAGCCTTTTCTTGTTTCTCCTCACTGGTAAGTTTTTTTTCTTATTTTTCTGTGGCCAGTTGGTTCCCACAATATCCTGAACTCCGTCCAGCTTTTCAGTCTGCCAGCAAAGTGGTACCCCGTTCCCAGCCTAATAACCCTGGTCTATCTTGGAATGATGGAGTAACCATTGACCATCTGTAATTTGAAGAATTCCGTTCTATATTTAAAGCCACATATAATACAAACACAATAGGTGGAGCAAATTGTATACTTCCCTCTTTTCTTAATAAGTCCAGTACTACTTGCATTTATGGTTTAAAAGTTATCTGCACTAGAGAAGAGAGGGAAGTATAACATTTGCTCCACCTATTGTGTTTGTATTATATGTGATTTTAGGTGTTGGTATAGGGGATACCACACAGGTTTTTGAGCTTCTTGTCACTATTGAAAATACCACTTGTGCTTTTTCTTACATTTAAAGCCACCCAGGGCCGGACTGGCCCACCGGGAAATTTCCCGGTGGGCCGCGGCACCTGGGGCTGGGCTGACAGCCCCATTCAGAACTGAACAGGTTGCTGTGATCCCGGCCGGCCATGTGCGAGCTGTGCATCCGCACAGGACCCATGGGAGCAGAGGGAGCCAGGCGGCCGGCACAGCTCACACATGGCCGGCCGGGATCATTTAAAAAAAAAAAAAAATTAAAAAATATTGTGGCGGGGGCAGAGCTAGCGTGCAGTGTGGGCGGGACTTAGCGTGCGGCAGAGGCCCTGGTAACTGCTGCATGGGAAGCAGGAAGGAGTCCCTGCTTCCTCAACAACCAGCCTCCAGGAGCTCAGAGGGATGTGGAGGTAAGAAGCAGGTCAGTGTGTGTGCGACTGTCTGCCTGTGTGTGTGCGACTGTCTGCCTGTGTGTGTGCGACTGTCTGCCTGTGTGTGTGCGACTGCCTGCCTGTGTGTGTGCGACTGCCTGCCTGTGTGTGTGCGACTGCCTGCCTGTGTGTGTGCGACTGCCTGCCTGTGTGTGTGCGACTGCCTGCCTGTGTGTGTGACTGTCTGCCTGCCTGTGTGTGACTGTCTGCCTGTGTGACTGCCTGTGTGACTGTCTGCCTGTGACTGCTGCCTGTGTGTGTGCGACTGCCTGCCTGTGTGTGTGCGACTGCCTGCCTGTGTGTGTGCGACTGCCTGCCTGTGTGTGTGCGACTGCCTGCCTGTGTGTGTGACTGTCTGCCTGTGTGTGACTGTCTGCCTGTGTGACTGTCTGCCTGTGTGACTGTCTGCCTGTGTGACTGTCTGCCTGTGTGACTGTCTGCTTGTGTGTGTGACTGTCTGCTTGTGTGTGTGACTGTCTGCTTGTGTGTGTGACTGTCTGCTGTGTGTGTGTCTGCCTGTGTGACTGTCTGCCTGTGTGTGTGAGTATGGCTGTCTACCTGTGTATGTGACAGTCTGCCTGTGTATGTGTGTGTGGTTGTTTGCCTCAGTGTCAGTGACTGTCTGCCTCTGTGTGTGTGGATGTCTTTGTGTGTGCGCGCGCATCTGCTCGTGAGTGAGCGAGCGAGCTTCTGTGTGTGCGCGCATCTGCTAGTAAGGGGGCCTCTGTGTCTGTGCGCCTGCTAGTGAGTTTGTGTGTGTGTGTGCCTGCTAGTGAGTGAGCTTGTATGTGTGTCATTGAGCTTGTCTGTAGGGATCATATGTGTGTGTGTGTGTGTGTGCGTGTTAGTGAGCTTGTCTGTAAGGAGCATGGGTGTGCCGGAGCCTGTCTGTGCTGAGCATGTGTGTACAGTGAGCTTGTCTGTAGTAAGCATGTGTGTGAGTATGCTTTACTGTATAATTTAAATACCCTGAAAGAGCTAATATTTTGAATTAGAAGAAGAAATGTATCAATAATATATATATAAGCTGTTGTACCTTTTCCTCAGGCTTCAAAGTTGTGTGACTGGGTGCATCACCATGATCCTGATGAAAGTCCACAAGAGGGACTGAAACGTTGATCTTCCCTTAAATATTTCAATAAAAGTTATGTTTTAAGGAAACACGAGAGCGCAGCCAACTATTCCAATTGCATTATATATATATATGCAACACCCTACATAGCACAATGACTTATGGGGCTGGCATAGATTTTTTTTTTCCAGGGTTGCTTCGTATCCCCAGTCCAGGCACCATGACTCAAGTGTCACTCAGGAGATATTTTTTTAAGCAAAGGGCCTGCAATGTCAGACATCATTAATCAATCAGTCTATCCCTAATGCCTTTTTTGCAATCAGAAGACCCATCCGGTGTTTATTGCCCACCCCAACTAACCATTACTCTAAAACACCACATATATCTGGTGTTAAGCCTGAAATGAAAATTAAAAAAACTAAAAGCAAGCATGCCAGGAACCAAACCAAACAGTTCAAATTCTGAATCTTCCTCTTTAAAAGCCCTCTCAATTTGTAGAGAAAGCAAGAACTAATTTGGTGGCTCCACCATATGGATGCTTGGAATGGGTGCACACTATTCATTATCACCAGGACTTTGTAATCAAATCTGATGCACTGAATAAACAACATGGCTGGGGTGCATGTTGTGGGCTTTTTAGTCTTCTGATTACAAGGTGCTTCTACTGGCCAGTCCTTTTGACCTTCGCAGTCTGGTGTGCAATATTGCCAGCTGTTCCATTCTTCTGAGATAGACAATGTGCTGGTGGTCCGCTATATCATCTGGGTGGCACCACATAAGGAGTTCTGGTGGACCTAGCAAAAGACTTCTGGCAGTTTTGTCACAACTGCTATCTCTCTGAAAAGGCAGAGTACATCCCCATATTGTCTAACACAATTGCAGCTTGGAATTTCGAATTCCTGAAGGATTCTAGGGAATGGCGATTCTAGGGAATTTTTCTGTTGGGTGGGGTGCTCCGGATAAAGACCTCTTTGCGTCTCGTTTCCCTTCCAAACTTCAGAAATATTTCAGTTAGAGATCGTATCAGGAAGCTGTTGCCTACAACCACTGATAGTGATCAGACTATGCATTTCCTTCATTTTCTTTCATCTCCCGTACCCTTCTGCACCTATGCATCATAATAACTCAATAGTCTTCTTGTCTTCATTTTGGTTTTTACACCCATGATTTCAGACATGACTTCTTAATTCCTCTCCGAATCTCTTCTATTAAAGGGAACTGACATTCTTTTCTAATCCAGGACCAACTTCATCTCATAACATGGCTGCTTTACAGAGACCCTAGTTTATCTCAGCTATTCCAGAGCAAGCTCTTGAACTATTGACCGGGACATGGGCCCCAGGAACTCAACAATCCTATAGCAATGCCTGAAATTCATGAGCTGGTTCGTGCCTGGAACACACCTGAATCTCATATCAGCTCTTGTTTACAGT